TGCGCTCGGCGAAGAGACGTTTGATGTTGTCGTTCATGGCCGAGACATACGTTTGGTAGACCTGCATACACTTACGAGCTAAGCTAGAGTTGTAGTATATGGGTATCTTCTGAACCTCTGGGTGCTTGCTCCAATATTCGTCGAGAATGAGAAGAAGTTCCTGGGCTCGTCCCAGGGCGAAGACTGGGAGGAGGGCTCGGCCACCGCGGTTGAGAACATCGGTAATGGCCTTCATGAGCTGTGCTTCTCGCTCGACACGTGGTGTGTGCATCGAGATACCGAATGTTGACTCGGTGATGAGGACGTCGATCTTTACGCCCGGAGGTACGGACGCTGATACCAAATGTCGGTCGTCTTCTCGCGAGTAGTCGCCGGTGAAGAGTATCTTTAGGCCTGCAATCTCCATAAGGAACATGGCCGCTCCAAGTACGTGACCAGCTGGGTAAGGTGTTATCCGTACACCGGAGACGGTGTGAGTGGTGTAAAAGTCGATTGACTCAATCATGGGATAGGTGTTGAGATGGTCCGCCTCGGTGTACATTTGGATCTTGGTCTCGGAATTGCTCGACATGTTGCCGACACGAACAGAATCCTGGATAAGCCATTTGTAGATGGCCTTGGTCGGATGTGTCATGAATACCCGGCCCTTGAAGTTGGTCTTTGCAAGTACATAGGGTAGAGATGCAGCATGGTCGACGTGGAAACTAGCCTGATGTCAGCATGCTGGAGGACGACTGGAGAACTCAGGGTGAGCCCGGAAGAAGCGCCCAAAGTTGTAGATACATTGGTGGGAACCAGGGAGGGGCACATCATCGAAGTCGAGCGGGAGGAAGCAAATTATATTCCATTCATAGTGATATACAAGTCGCTGTATTGCGAGTGCCCTTTGCGCGCTCATGGTCCGACTCCAGTGATGCGCCGAACCCCAACTACCATGGCAAGCAAGACGCGTGTATACATACTGTGAAATTAGTAGCACGTCTACGGTGCTAAGATCGAAATCATCGTAAAAGGGCATGGCGGACAAGCCTTCGTGTGCGGGATGCATACCGGCATCAAGCTGTCCCTCGTCAGTATGGTTGCCGTAGAGTATGCGAGTCCTGCATGCGCACCATGACGGTCTTGCCCTTGTACTGGATGATGTGACACGACCGGCCGACCTCGTTACCGCCTCCTAAGCAGAGGAACATGAGCTCGTCGGAGGGATCTATTGGGTCTTCATCCTCGGGCGCCATTGCCGTCGCCTTTCTCTTCGACGCCATAGTTGTGTGGGTTGAGATGTGGATGTTTTACTAGGTGGTATACGGGCGACGGAGGTGAGGCTACGGGGTTGGTGGATGCCCAGGTGGTAGCCGAAGAAGAACGCGTAAGATATCTATAACCAGCGCCTGGACCTAGCTCGTTAATCGTGAATTGGTGTCGCAGGGATATTCAACGCCTCAATGGAAACGCCCAAGGGTGAGAGAGAGGTCGTGGCAGCGTCAAATGAGAGCGGAGTGGCAGTTGGTTGACCGTTGCGGCTCTCTTTGTCTGGCGCGCGACTGCCAAGACTTTGTCCGTGCCCGTCATTCCCAGATTCATCGTCCGCTCTACCAACCGCGACATCACCAACCCCGACGCGCCTGCCAACTCCACCCACCGCGCCTGCCCGCCGAACACGTCCCGTCGCAAGCGCTATCGAGCCCCGACCATACTGCCGCCGGATGACGCGCCGATAGAAACCCTCTGCCAGCGCGACTCCCCGAAAGGGACGAGCTGCCCACCATGGCCTACCCGAACAACTACCAGTATCCGCCGCCGGGCCAGCAGCCCCCGCCGCCCGTGCAAACGCAGAATCTGGGCCACCAGCAGCAGCCGCGCGCTTTCTCACCGCAGAATTACCAGCAGTCGCCGACCGCCTTGTCCCCGACCATGGGCAGCGGCATTCCTCCGAATAAGCGACAGCGCCTGTCGCCAAACCCGCCATCGCCTGCGCCGTACCAGTCGCCTTTCGGCATGCCTGGCGCGCCCCAATACCCTCCCTCGCCGTATACCGCTTCCCCTCAGACGCCTGGCTACCACTCACTGCCCACCTCGCCCGCCGCGATGCAGCCTCCGCCCTTCCACCAGCCCCAGCCGTATCAGCACCCGAATGGACAGCCGCCAGCGCCCCAGGGCTCTATGCCGCCACCCAAGGTCCCTTATAGCAAGACTGGCGATAGTTCGGAATTAGAAAAGGCGAATGCGCGCGACCTGGACGTCAACAACATTAGCGATGTGCTCACAGGATCTGGTATCGATCTGCGCGCCGAGGAGGACAACCTGCTGCACAACTACAGGAGCTTCAACTCGCAAGCATCTGGCTCCACAGCATCACCACATGCTAGTTTCAATAACTGGAGCCAGCAGTCGGGCCATGGCGCATTCCAAGGGACCGGCGCTCTTAGTCAAGAAATGACCAAAGAGCAGCATGAAGCCGAGTTCATCAGAAAGCACGAGCAAGCCGCCAGGATCCTGAACGAGTCAGCCCAGCAGCCGCTGAACGACCCGTTCCTGTCAGCAAGTGTCCTAAGACATCGCATCGCGAAACGTGGCTATGAGCACGGTATCCAGATCAATGTAGATGGCTTATTCGACAAGATCCCAGACAAAGGCCAGCAAGAGATCGCACGTACCACTGCAGCAGGTGCCAACGGCGAACAAATCGTAGGCTTGGAGGCTGCTAGTCTACTGAACCAGAACGCTCCACTTGTGGAGATTCTGACGCTGATATCGCTGGCTGCCGAGGAGCGTGTCCGGACCATAGTTGAGGATTCTTTTGCTTTGTGCCAAGGTCGTCAAAATACTTCTCATGGCATCATTCCCCCACAGATGCTTGATCTCGCTGTGGTGGATGAGGGCGCATCAGAGAAGATGGCTCCGCCAGTCAACATCTTGAAGACGCCGTGGGAGGCGACTGACAGTGCTGTCAGCCCTACAGCGACAGCCAGCAAGGGTATGTTTGTTTTGAATATTTTCCAGTTTATTGCTAATCGTCTTAGGTGTCCCCAATGCGGGACGATTACCAACGCCTCCAAGCGAAGCACCCCCAACCCCTCAGCGAACATACCAAAACGTCAACCACGTTGCCATTGCACTTACGAAGCGCGTCAATGACGACTACAAGTGGGAGCAGGAGCGCCTCCGCAAGCGCGCGAAGCGTCAAGCAGGCGCCTCAGCTTCCTCAGCAGATGCGCCAGTTGCACCAATACCCATGCCGGAACCTGTGACAAAGAAGGCTTTGGCATTCGCCAAGAAGCAGAGTCAGTCGGACGTTGTCGTATTTGGCAAAGCCAACGAGACCGCCAGCATGGCGCTTGGTGGCAAGAAGAAGAAATACTCGTGGATGACGGGCGGTGGCGGAGGACCAGCGTCAGGTGCATCTACACCACGACCGGCTGCAGCAACAGGTGGCAGTGGCGCCGCTACACCTGCGGTCCAAGCTCCTGAAAAGGCTCTCATGGGCAAGAAGCGCAAGTTCGGCGACACCATTGAGCAGACCGAAACAGGCGCCGGTATCCAGCTCCGTGATTTGATTCATGTGCTAGATAACGACGGAAGAGAGAAGAAGACGCTCACAGTCATCCTGGCGCGTCTCAAGAACACAGAAAAGGATACTAAGCCTGAGGTCAACAAGGCGGCGCCTACTGTACCTGGTCCGGGTCTAAGAGCTTAGGCTCTACCTTATTTGCATTATCAGCGTTGGCGTTAAACGGAGGGATGTCAAGTGAAGAGGACAGAACTTGTGACACATTATTTGCATTATATCCCCAAGGGCTGGGGTAAAACTTTCAGTGACGGATGATGAACCGTCGGATCCTTTGGGCTGGCTTGCGTCAAAGCATGTAGCTGACAGATCCCCAATACCAATATTAAGAGCACTTACTGTGTATCATCTCTTCGTTTCATATCTCAAAGTGCGGCACGTAACCATATCGTTGTTGACCTTAGTGGTAGTCAATATGGCCGAAATCTTCGAATTCTACTACCACGGCCAATAGCAAGAATACTAGATTATATCATCGGGCGCTCACGGTTTTTCTTTGTTGTATCATGCCAACGAGGACTGATGATTTGACTGGCGCCAAGCGCGCTCGTAACAGTGATTCGCTGGGACCACTCCGGGGCTGCTGCCTGCTCCTTCCTAGGCTAGGTGCACCGCACTCTTCGTGAGTGGGCACATTTATACCAACATGTACAACGTGGCGCGCCATCAACGATGAATCACAAAGCATTGGCACAACTGCTCAATGACCCAAGCTTTCCCCACTACGCTATCAACCATATCATGAGACAGGCATCCTCGCGTGCAGTGTCCACTGCTCGAGCGCATCGCACGTTCGTACTACTGACCGCAAGGCCTCTACATCTGCTTGAATCGCCTCTCCATACGGACATTCGCCTTGTATCGCGGCGACCATTTTCCATTTCTACAAAATTGCTCAGTCCCACAAGAACAATGCCCACTTTCAGTGAAGGTAGGCGGAATCCGCATGTTTGACATCCGTTGCACCGCGCCGATGTTTACTTGAACGTAGGCCCTGACCCTTACAATTATACGAGTGGACGATGGCTCCGTCATGACGAACTCGAGCGAAAGTCGCGCTTTATACAATTCGACTTCGACGCTCTGTGTCGTAGAGTTGTAGCACTATGTCCAGGTGCCCAATCAATCACCTCATATGAGAAGAAGGAAGGCGGAAACAATCGCGTCTTCATATTCCACACTGATAATGCGAAATGCCTCGTCGCAAGACTGCCATTTTCTCAGGCAGGCCCGTCGAAGTATACAACGGGTTCAGAGGTCGCGACTATACAGTATCGTACGTCCCTTCACAACAGATAGCAAAAGAAGAAGCATGGCAAATGAGATTAGCTGACCTTACATGCAATTAGTGCAAACCAAAACCAGTATCCCTATTCCCAAAGTACTGGACTGGAGCGATGACGCTTCCAACACTATTGGAAGCGAATACATCATCATGGAACACGCACCAGGCGTCTGCTTGTCTTTGAAATGGCCAGACATGACAGAGATTCAGCGAGCCATGGTCATGAAACCCATTTACCAAAAACTGAACGAGGCTGCCAATCTTGAATTCCCCGCATATGGCAGTCTCTACCTAGCCAACACTCCACATATCAAAGACTCTGCAATACCTCTGGAACCAAATTTCTGTATCGGTCCTAATTGCGAAACCATGTATTGGGATTGTGAGCCCACAGAGCCGAGGTACTACCACGCTGTCAACCGAAACCAAGGACCTTGTAAGTGACGGTTCATGCAAGCAAGTAGCTAAAACACTCATAAAATATATAGGGCCCGATCAATCCGCCTATTGCGATGGTCTAATCGACGCAGGGATTTCGAGGCTTCCGCCAGATGCAGTTGGCTCAAAGCGACCACACTATCATGGGTCCGTTGAAGACCACAAAGCCTTGTTGGAATACTGTCGTGCAGTGATACAGAAGATGATACAGGACCCTTCCATGAGCATGATGGCACAGCCCACCCTATTTCACCCCGACTTGAACATGAGAAATATATTCGTTTCAGAGGAAGACCCGACTATCCTCACAGCCATAATCGACTGGCAGTCATCGAGCATCAAGCCAGCATTCTGGTACATGCACGAGACACCAGATTTTGCCCGCAAAATCCCCGATCCTTCCGATGAAGACAAATTCGAGCCCGAGAGCGAGAGGCGTGCCAAAGCCTTCAGTTTTCTGGTTCGCTCGCTCCTTCCACCCGCAATGTTAGCGCCTCTAGAAATGGACGAGGCCTACTTTCGGCCTTTTATGTATGGCCACCGTACCTGGATACACGGCGCTGCTGCCTTTCGAATAGAATTGATACAGACAGCACGACGATGGAAGGAACTAGGTTTCGAAGGCGAGTGTCCTTATCCGCTACCCAGCCCTGAAGAGTCCGCCGTGCATTTTGAAAGGTTCAGAGAGTTTGAGCGGGATTACAAGGCCAAGAAGTTCCTCGCAAGTATGCTAAACGTGGGGCTTGACGGGTGGGTGCCCCCAGAAGAGTTTGAGGCATTGAAGCAGGCGAACAAGGAGTTGTTTGCCACGATAGTAGAGGATAGTCGAGGTGCTGAAGAATCTGAGAATGTGGAGGCTGAGATTAGCGATTTTTGGCTTTTTGATCTGGAGGACTGAGCGGGTTATATGGCGCTGGTTAATCATGATGTACGACGTTGCAGGGGAAGAAGGCATGATAGGAGTCCTACAAAAGTATTAGATGCTAATACTGAGATTGAATCACCCAGAAGCGGCAGGTCCGCTAAATATAGCTTAGTATAAATGTCACTTTTGCCTCATATTTACATTCACAGCACCACGGCGAAAGGGATGGTGAATCTTCATTGTTGTATAAGAACGAATTCTTTCGTAGGCGAGAAGAAATTTGTGGTCTAGGGTATCTAGTCCAGTCGAAGTGCTGATACAATCCAAACACAATTACCGTTGGCGGTGTTTGTGATTGCGCATCCATCTCGTTGAGTTGGCCAAGTCTAGGTCTAACGAGAGACAAACCAATCCTATCCCTCCAAATGCCAAGCCGGAACCTCCTTCATAGCCTTCTCCTCATGCGTGGGTCGCAGTACCGGCGTGGCGGGCATGCGCGGCGTAGTACGCGATCGCAGGTACTGAATCACCCTCAACAACAGCTTGGAGTGTGAAGCACGTCCCAAGGTGAAACGGTCTGTGAGGTCGATATCTTCCCATTCTGTCATGTCGATCTCTGGGCTGTTTGCGCGTGAAGAGAAGCCTGATTGTTGCGACTCTGATGTTGGCGCGTCAGATGACGCGGTGTCGAGAGACGTAGTCGACATGGTTGAATATGTTGATACCGAATACAGTGAAGATTTTGAAGACGATGTCCGCGATGAAGTTCGTGACGATGTCCGTGAAGAAGTTCGTGAAGATGTCCGCGATGATGTCTGCGAAGAAGCCCTTGAAGGATGGGCTGACGGGAACGGAGACGGCGAGGAATGCGGCTCAGATGGCATAATGTCGAGCTCGTAGTCTTCGGCGTGTTTTGGTTCTTGAGATCTTGGCTTGATGGTACTCAAGTGCGCGTTGACGAGCTGTGAGAGCAACATGACTGGAACCTTGGCTGGTTTCGGGTGGTGGTGGATGAAAAGCGTTGTGTGAAGAGTGCTTTTGAAGGGCCTTGTGACTTTTGTGAAAGACTTGTGTGTGAAAGAGTTTTGTGAAGAGTTGAATGTGGAATTTTGAAATAGTCACGGCGGCCTCTGTTTATATACTCGGATGTATGTGGTGAACCGTGGACGTGATGTACTGTTTAGTGTAGATATGCGCGATCCATGGTTGTGTCGAAAATCACACTGGTGTGGATTGGCCCATTCGACGCACCTCAGCCATGTGATTAGCATAGGTAGACTGAGCAGGAAGAACTCGTGCTGTGATTATTTCGATGCGTAGACATCACTGCGCGGGTATGAATTCCGCACCCCACGCTCCTGGTGTAGCATTGATTGTGAAGGCAGTGACGACTGGAGTATTCATATGTAGTCCACAACCATGGTCTTGTGCGAGCAGAACCTGCACCAGTATTATCCCCAATAAAATGTTAGAACGCCAGTCAGCTTACGATGCTTTAATGTATGGTACTGATGTACCACCAATCAGTGCGAGGAGTTTACGTGGGTCGGAGGCTCTAGCGCGGATGCGCGAATGGTTGCGTCAGGCCAATCCAAACACTGCCGATGACTGCGAACAGGAACATTTCGATGAGCGCTTTACTTTCGAAAGGGGCAGCACAGTGCCCTCTTCGCCTCGACATGATGATGAATACGAGGCGTCGGACGTCGATCTCGAGGACATCATAGCCCAACTCGACGACCTATGTCGAGAAGAAAACGCTTCATGCCCACCGCATCTTGACATCGATGAAGAAGTGGCGGACGGAAAGCAGTACCGGGATGTGGCAGCGGCGTTAAGGGCTGATGAGCCAGGCATGGATACCTCAGTCCTGGAGCGAATCAGGAACGCAGACGGATCAAGTGACCGGGTATTCGACGACTTACTTGCTCCGTTACGCTTAGAGCCACTACTGTTGGAAACCGAAGAGTCAGAAGAACACATGTTAGACGTAATACTCACTTGGAACAAGCGCATTGCCGACCAGCGTAACAGTGACTCGACCGAGCGCCAGGCCTTTGTTGCTGCTCTCAGGGAAAGAGTGAAGGTTGTCGACCAGATCTTGGCGATTGTCTGTGACAACAGAAATAGCAACCAGGACAATGAAACTGGACAGAATGGTATCCTGGAACCTTCTCAACGTCAATTACTGAAAGCCATTCACGCATACCGGCCAGAAACCAAAGATTTCAAGACTCAGGATCCGTTTAACATGCTCATTATTATGTTAGCGCATATCCGACAGAAGGAGTTTGAGCTTGCCAATAAGTACGATGGCATATACCTTGCTCTCAAGGTGTTGAGCGGACAGGAGCAGCTGGAGCACCGATTCGACCGTGAGAAGAAGAGACGTGCGTATCAAAGGAACAAAAAGAATGCAGAGGAAGATGATAACAAGGAGGAAGTCAAACGATGCGAGACCAAATGGAGAGCCTATAACAGGAAGCTGGCAGAAAGAGCGCGACAAGGACTGATGGCCAAGATCCAGTGCGCGCGGAACGAGTTGAAAAAGGCCGAAATCGACGAGCTGCTGGATCTGGCTGTACTTCGATCAGCACAGCCACGGGTCTCTCGAGAACCTCATCCAGGCGTCTACACTCCATCGCTGGAGGAGATATTTGACGCATGTAACAAAGCAGACGACTACGACAGTCTCAACCATGAGTTCGCAGAGCACTTCCCGCATCTGGAGACCAAGCTGGAAGTGACCTTGAACAATGCGCAAGACATGAGAACAGTTCATGACACCGTGTTGTTCCGGATGGTGAAGCTCGCTGGTGCTGATCTGAAGGGTCTCGATAAGGATGAGAGGAAAAAGGTAATGACGGCGCGCCTCAACGACCCCGTCACGGCGACAGTAATCGAGGAGACACTAAAAGGCGTGACGGACACACGTCGAGCAGCGAAGCAGATGCTCGAGCAGCTCGGGCTGATAGGGCAACCCATGCGTGAATTGCTGGAAGCTGTAACGGCGAAACGCGACGACCTGGCTGGATTGACACGCCTGATCAATCGCGAGGAAAGTCCGAATAGCAGCAACGAGATCCAAGAGGAGGAGTAAGAGGGCGAAAGGAAGTTGGCGATGCTGGCGGAGATAACGCCCTTATTTCCGGTTGTTGAGGTTTCTGATTCCGATCGATCTCAGTACGTCGCTTCATGTATGTCAAATTTTGCGTCTCGTAAGGCTGAACGCCAGCGGTGCCTGGCTTGAGCGATGTAGAATAATGCGCAATCTTGGTACTGCTATAGCACCAACCTGCGCATCGGAATTCGGGTGCGGGATTAATTGATACCGGTGGCACGCACTAAGGCGCGGTGATGTGAATGGAGGGTGTGCTGCAGGGCGGATATCCGGATTGCAGTCGGGAAAGAACGGGTCCAGCGCCAAGCACAAAACTTCTCATCAACTATCGCGGCTTTCTAATCTCCGCCTGTCCATCTTCACCACCACCAAACCTCTCCACTCCACTTCCTTCGCTTCTACGTTCCATACCAGCGAAATGGCCACCTCTCCTCCCCCCACCGCCACCGGCTCCAGCAAGGTCGATGCCGCAAAGGCTAAGCTTGCGGCCGCTGACCCTACCGCGCCCACTGGCCTGGCCCTGTACTCGCGATTCGCTTTCGCCGGTGCCGTCTGCTGCTCCGTCACCCACGGAGCCCTCACACCCGTCGATGTGTACGTTGTGCCGCCCCCCAATGGCTCGGGACGATGCCAATGGCTGCCTCGCACACGCTTTGCGACAGTTGACAGGTATCGAAAATGACGACAGAATGCCAAGCTGACATGTGCAACAGCGTCAAGACCAGGATACAACTTGACCCCGCCACCTACAACACCGGTCTGATCGGTGGCTTCCGCAAGACCATCGCCAATGAGGGTATGGGCGCTGTCTGGACCGGTTTCGGTCCCACCGCTGCCGGTTACTTCCTCCAGGGTGCCTTCAAGTTCGGAGGTTACGAGTTCTTCAAGCAGCAGTCCATCAACCTTGTCGGTTACGAGACTGCCGCCAACAACCGCACTGCCGTCTACCTCGCCTCTGCCGCCGTCGCTGAGTTCTTCGCCGATGTCGCCCTCTGCCCTCTCGAGGCTACCCGCATCCGTCTCGTCGGTGACCCAACCTTCGCCAACGGTCTCGTCGGTGGATTCTCCAAGATCCTGAAGAACGAGGGTGTCGGTGCTTTCTACTCTGGTTTCGGACCCATCCTGTTCAAGCAGTATGTACAACCCCTCTGATTGGAAGTTGAGATTTGGCTAATCATCCACCAGGGTTCCCTACACCATGGCCAAGTTCGCCGTCTTCGAGAAGGTCAACGAGGCCGTCTACTCCGTCGTCGACAAGAGCCAAACCTCCAACGGCATGCAGACCGTCTACAACTTGGGCTCTGGTATCATTGCCGGTTTCGCCGCCGCCATCATCTCCCAGCCCGCCGACACCATGCTCTCCAGGATTAACAAGACCAAGGGTCTTCCCGGAGAGGGAACCACCTCCCGTTTGATTAAGATCGCCAAGGAGCTCGGTCTCCGCGGATCTTTCGGTGGTATCGGTGCCCGTCTTTTCATGGTCGGTACCCTGACCGCTGGTCAGTTCGCCATCTACGGTAAGTTTTTTTCTCAACGCCTTCTGTCGCGCCCAAAGCTAACTCCGGGAAGGTGATATCAAGAAGGCACTAGGTGCTACAGGCGGAGTAGAAATCGCTAAGACTAACTAAATTTTCGTCTTGTGCGATGCGGAGAGAGTGACGGAGGAGATGATACCAAGACAGCCATGACAGCGGGTCTCGAGGTGGACTTGTCACACAAAAAGTCTGTCTTTTCTTGCATAATGGCTGGCATGGGTTTGTTCGATATCACATTTCTTCTACGTGTTTTGCGTTTATTTGCAGTCATTCAAGTTAGATCTTGCTTCGCTTAGACGGCGATTTTATGTAACAGTACGATCGAGTAGGAAACATACTGCACAATAGACCCAACTCATAATGTCCAAGCACTGCATTCAAGTGAGATCGAACGGCATTGAAAACCGGGCATTCAATAATGCTGATGATATTCTTAACATTAAAGGCTACATGTCCTATGCATCTCATACAAGAAAAAACCTAGACAGGTCTGCAGACTACATCAAACTAAAAACTTGCAAAGTATGTAACCTAACGTCAACGTAGACTCTAAGGTGTTCGGCTTTTCCTTAGGTTGGCGTGTATGGAAGATCGAGGGCTAGGAGCAAATTGCACTATTACAACAATATAGCCGTACAAACAAGCAGCAGCCTAACGCTACTCGCAACATCCAACTTCGTCTGCCAATCGTCAATCCGCTCTGCCTAGCAGGGTCTAGTCTGAACCGTTACTAACCCTATAACCCACTCGTCACAGATGCGTCACATTTCTGCGATTGGAGCCTTGGAGCCAGTGATCCCGTGGGTCAACCACAAATGAACTGTCATATCGTTCTCGTCCATGAAGTCTGGACCGTCTCGAGCGAAGCGGCTAATCCACGGATTCACGGCACAGCCACCGAAGTAACAAGTTATATGATTGTCACCGTCGTTATCCCTCTTGGTCATGTAACGGATGTGGCTTCTCACGTGCTCGCCGCGCTCGTCGTGTGAGGTGAACACGGCTCCACATAGTATGAACTTCCCCTTCCGAGCTAATTGGAATTGACAGGGTACCTAGGTATACTTGGAGACGACGCTATGTCGAGGATACGAGTTGCTTCTTGGGTGGCAGCTTCTTTTGCGCAAGCGTAGGTGTGTTCGTGCGCGTGATGTGGCTCACTGAGATCCTCACCACAAGAGCGGCAGTCGTAGCTTCCGGGGAAGTTGTTGGTTAGGCATCTATACACGTGATCCACCTATTCACTATACATTCACTTACTAGCGTTACCCCTCTACTATATATACTAGGGGTTCCTCCCTCTAAATAGAACATCAATACATTGTACACTCCTCTCTGTTCTACAGAAGTGCTCCTCCCCGATGTTGAAGGCACCGATTGGGTGGCAAATGCTGTACCATTGCATCAAGACGGCACATACCTGTCCCTCTGTTTCGCACGCACTCACGTCCTCTACCATATCATTGTAGGCCGAGTGGCCCTTGGTGGACTGAGCATATTTTTTGAGGGAGCGGAGGTTGTCGAGCGACTGACCGTGTAACGCCATCTGTCTGGAGTCATCGAGGGTAGTGTCTATCTCCTCTGCGCTCTGGATGTTGTCTGTGATATCTATGTCAAGCCCTGTGCTATCACCAAAAAGATCTTCCAACTCTTCCTGCTCTTCTGTCGAAGGTGTCTCTTCTGCGTTGCGTGTGTTCAGTACTGCGTCGTAAGCGTCTATATCCTCGTCTTCTGCTACGAAGAGTGGGAGATCGGAGACGTCTGCATCAGATTGGACACCGTCTGACGTTGTGGCTACCTCTGTGATGGCGTCGTCGAGCTGCAACAGGGCTGCCTTGGTGAACCCTAGTGACTTAAAATGCTCCTTGTACTCGGTCCTGAAGATCTTGATGCTGACGTGGTTGACCATCGCCTTTCGCTCTGCCTCGGCGGCTTGGTATTCTTCCCATTGTGGGTCGCCTGCTCTTGCTGCTGCCGTCAAGCTCCCGTGCTTGGATCGGAGAGTGGCCCGCACAGCGTCTGATGTCTGCCGAGCGTTCTTGACTCGTTCATCTTCCTGCACGCGAAGCCGTCCTTTGTCCGATATCGTAGTTGGTGCCTCTGTACTGCGGTTCAGCGAGATTCCTGTCTGCACAAGAACCGATCGTTCCGGCATGTTCCGATACATGGCAGCAAAGTCCACGGTCGATATGCGCGACTTGTTTTTGGGGAAAACCTGCCAGTAGTGAGCTTTAAGTTCATCATTGGCAGATGATTTGGCGTAAATCGATCCTTACCTGACGACTGTGCCCCATCAGGAATACCCGGTCCTCTTCAGATGCACGTGTAGCCAATGTGTACGCTACACCGCGCCGCATGCAGTACGCAACTAAGGTTTCCTCAAACCCGCAAAATTGACCCAGTCTGCGGATCTCGCTCTGCATATCTGTCGTCCATTGCGGCATCTTGGTGAGGCGATGGTCGATCATTTTCCGCAGTACCGGAACCTCACACATGCTTGGCCGTATCTTCAGCCTTCGACCTGTGCTTGCAACCTCAGCGGGGAGTCGTAGAGACCGAAGATCGTCCCAGCTTCGGATATCGTCCATCAAGACGTCGTCCATCATAGCCAGCGTGAGCAGTAGACGCAGTGTATCCTGAAGCGCCATGGACGTCGGCAGCAGGCCAGGAAATGGTACCGTCTTGTAGGCCGAGTCGTCGAGGGTTTTGCCTTTTCCCCATCTGATCTTGACCTGGGCTCGGATGTCGAACTCGTCATCGTCGTGGCACTGGAAAGAATAGAATTCTACATCCTCCCATCGCAGACACATACCTAGGTATGCTCAGGTCGTACGGGATTGCGCGCGAACTCACCCCCCCCGGCCACATGTGTCGACGACGAGAAGCATGTACAGCGTGAGGTTTAGGACTAACCTCATGTTCCCAAAAGTCGACAGGTAGTTGGGCTGGTACAGCATTGTGATGATGAAGGTCAGGTCGTCCGAATGCGCGACGGCCTTGGTTTTCATTCTGGTGCTGAGGTTTTCATCAGTCGCCAGTTGATTGTTGACGAAGTTTCGCACGTCAGCCTGGATGGACGCTGTCTCATACTTGGTATGCCGGCACTCATACTTGGTTGTGTAGCTCCACCAAAAGCTGTAGCAGGACAGCTTAAGAACTCCAGAATCTACATAGTGTAGAGGAATACATAGTGTCCAACCGCGAAGATCACGTTTGACTCAGTGGACCCGGGAGTTACTCAGCGATTTTGAGAGCGTCGTCTGATGTCGGACACAGAATCCTAGAGCCGACTTGTAGTGTTGATACATGTCCTTGATGCTGTCGTAGTGCTTTATGGCCTTCTAGGAGCGGGTTTGCTTAAATGTTGAGATAAATCAAGCACGTCGTATCGAGCAAGTGTTGTTGGCGGAATTGTTGCATCTCGGACTGCAAACACGCGGAGAAATCTCCCTCGAAGCACTCTGTATCACATGGTCGACTTTTGGGGAGAATTGAGGGAAGAGAAGTAGTGCAAGATAGTCGGGCAAGAGGATTCGATGGTCTTCAGAGCTATTGGACTACATGCCCCAACGTCATGACGGTGTCAGATGTACCTCACAACGTGCTAATGCCTTCACTAGTGCCATGAGGCCGGCACTTAGGCGGCATCGTATAACTCGAAGATGTCAGATCTACAACTGCCATTTTGTGGTCTAGGACCAGAGGTGTGGTACGAGTCGCGATGTTGAAGAAGTACGCTTTGTATCCGCCCAGACGTGACGATACCTAGGTATGCCATGGGCTGCGAACTCGGTGCGTTGATACGTGGAACATTTGTTTTTTAGGTATTTGGGAATTGACACGTCGTTGGAATAGCCGCCTGGATTCAGGACGTGTCTCAGGTATCTGAGGTCTAGGTTTGCATACCGCTCGGTGGGCGCAACGGGGCGATGTTGGTGCGACTTTAGAGGTATACATGGCATCTACATACGAAAAACACGTTCGACTTGGTGGGTCCGCGAGGTACTCACCCAACTTGAGAGTGATGCTCTGATATCGAACATTGGATCCGGGAGCCGACTTGCTGTCATGGCATTTGTAACGGGAGACCATTGACGAATATGTCTCTCTAGAGGACGCAGGTTTGGAGACGCTAGTGAGCGTAACGGGGCGATGTTGGTGCGATGGGCACCTGGGGGCTTCTCACGTCAGCCCCGCTTGCTGTCGGTGATGCCGCGTCGCTTCGCGACTGCCAGCTTCCACCTGCACAGCTACAGTATGTCAGCCTTTTCTGGGCACTCTCAGCCTCACCATCAGTAGCTCACAATGCCTTCCTATATACTGGACACTGTCCAGCTGGGCCATTTCGGTAGCCCAGCGACGTTGCTACGAGGTTTCGCTATTCCCCACGTTCTTCTCTCGAGTTCCTCCCCGGGTGCAACCAACCGCTTTGAGTAACGAACCCGCAAGCTACCCATGACAGAGCTGTTGGTCAGCTTCTCATCAGCAACGCAGGGCTGCCATTCCTCCTTCTGTGCGAGTCGCAACTTGCTTCTGCATTGAGGTTCTTCGTCGCTTAATGCGAAGGATTTCCGGTGTAGCTAGCCAATGTCCGACCGCCCGGGCGCATCATCTCGCGATTTTGCATTTCAAACCTATGACCAAGCAGGTGGAGCTCCGCAACAGCACCCGCAGCACTTCTACGGTGCCTATCATGCCGAGCACGACGCAAACACGACCGAGGCCGGAAGCCAGGCGCATAGCCAGGACTTCGCCGCGGGGTATCACGACTACCATGCGACACAGCACCCAGTGATGGCAGGTCACTTCGCAGGCTTGGGCTTTGGCTCGTCTGTGCCTACAGGCTGGGACGCAATCGACTTCACCGACTTCACGGACCAGTACGAGCCGCAGGGAGAACTTGTTCAAGAATATCCAAGCCAGGCAGACGCCATAAACAACTTCAACATCCCGCTTCCTGTCTCGACAGGCGAACCGGCGTACCAGGCATTCTCACAGAGCCAGAGCGTCACTCCAGCGCCAAATGTCGCGCAAAGCCAGAACCAACTGTCGCCTCCGCTGCCACCAGCTCCTGCACAACAGCAACAACGACCGGCTGTTCAAGCAGGTACGAAGAGGAAGGCCGACACAGAATCTCCTTCAGCCGCACAGCAAAATAGTGCCGCAGCGGAGAACCCCCCGAAGCGCCAGAACGTGTCGCGACCACCATCCGACGCCTCAGCTGCTTCGCCAGCCGTCACAGCCACGGCTGACGCTCAAACGCCGACCATGACGCGCACCGCTGCCACCTCCGAAGCCACACCCCGACAAGTGTCACGAGAGGACACAAATACAGAGCGACGGAAGGAGCAGAGTAAAGGTACGGGGCCACAGGGAAGGGTCATCGATGTCTCGACACCGCGTAGAGTGCCTGGTTCGCCCGGCGCACTCGACATCCTTCCTGCCGGCAAGGTGTTCCCAATACAGATTGGGTCGGAGCTGTTCAGACTGTCAGGAGCGTCGATTTCGTCAGATGGTGAGTATGCGCTGAAGACATCAAAACGGAACAGCAACTAAGACTATTAGAGCACCCTCACACTTTTCGCATTTCTTCGGCCAGCAACTGCATGACAATGGCGGTCGTGCCGGTGACGTGAGGACGCTGTACATCGACCGCGATCCGGATACGTTTCGCGATATCGCGCTCCACCTCCAGGGCTACCACATCACACCGAGAGATGGCGAACATTTTGTTAAGCTGTATGCTGATGCGCAGTTCTACTCGCGTAAGCTCAGCCAAATAGCGGAAGGAATAGATGCTAACATCAGCAGTGCCTCGTCTCACCAAACAGCTGTTCAGCACCGACATCTTCGTGCGCATCGGAGGAACACCCTTCCAGATACAACGCGATCTCTTCTCTGCCCCGGGAGACAGCCCGAACTATTTCTCGCTAGGCTTTGCGCATTTTTTCTCGACGCCAAACGAGGCGTTTCCGGGACTAGATCGCGATGCCCTGCTTCGACCGCCGTCTATCAAGCCTCCTTCGGTGCCGAGCAGAGATGGGGAGGTCTTTCGCGAGCTGATACAATTATTACAGGGCTACAATATCGAGATCCGGAACGACGCACATCGCTCTCGCCTGCTGAGGGATGCGCGATACTTCCATCTCAAGGGCCTAGAGCAAAAGCTCATACCCTGCGACATATCGTATAACCTAAAACGGCAAGAGTCTGAGATTCTAATTCGTCTTGAAGACATTCGACAATCGGGCATCTCCTTCACTCCAGATAAAGACTCCAGCGAGTCTGGTTCAGGAAGCGAGTCGGGTTCGGAGACCGTATCTGGTGCGCAGTCAACAAGCGTCCCACCAAACCCTCTACTCGTCAACAGTGTTGCAAGCCCCGCCCCATCAACGGCAAGCAGCAGTGCAGTTTCGAAGGCGGGATATGTGTCGTACGCTCGACCATATACGGACGACCATGCGCAAAGCAACATCCTCGTCGTTGAAGTTGCGTCAACGGAGGCAACAACGCTATATCTTCCAAGGAACAATATCGACACTTTCGAGGCTGAATCGGGCGACTATGGAATTGAACTTCGTGCAACGTTCCATGATTCCACTCTCGCACGAATGACCTCCCTCTTCTCCGTCATAGCTTCCAAGATGGGTTTACCCGCTACACAACCGTTAGGACTGATGTTCTTACAATCCGGTGCCGGAGTCGCCGCCCAGCCTGTCAGCCCGGCCAATTCAGGCGTCAGCGAACGTCGCGTGCGTGTACGGCTCGATCGAGACACCGCTCTCGAAGTCGACGGATCGCCAGCGGAGCTCTCAGTCGACGAATACCACCACGACGGCATTCGCAGCATAAACCACAATGACAAATGGTTTTGGGCTGATGATGGAGGCCCATCCTTCCACGACGACAAAGACGAACAATGGACAGTCAGACGCGCGCACTGGCGCATCCGCGTCGAACCTGTTAAGGGCGACACCGAGGGAAAGAGGATGCAAGTCATCTTGTGCGCGGTGAAGCTTGAAGCTTTTACCAAACAACGGCCACGCAATTCTTCGAGGAAGTTCCTGGGTGGTCGCTAGCATAGTGGGTCGAGCGGCCCAGGGCTGACGCAGATTCTCTCGCAAATGCGCAGTCGACTTGTCAATATATCGATATTTTCCGACCAGTTCTTCCACATACGACCATAGGAACAAGTCAATAGCGCTTCCCGTTCGCTCAGCGGTACTCAAGCTTGTTACCGGCCGGCTAGTAGCTTCGTGGGTGACCAGAAGCGAATCCCGGCTGTTGTATGTTTTTGACTTTTTTTGTCCCACTAACGTCGATTTGAACTACCGAACTTGTGCCGACATGATAGGGAAAGTCGTCAAGTTCCTGTGCCCAGTCATCCCAAGACGCACGCGTTGGACATTTATAGCTTAGATGCTAAGCACAAAGTACCTCTGGATTGTCTCATCGTTCTGAATACAGCTCAGAACTATCGAGTCTTTTTGTTTCCGTTCAAATGACGTTATATGCCAGTGGTTTCGCTTACCAAACATACACAGGTTATCTGACTAGTCATAGTATTTCGATTCTTACCCACGGCAGCTCACACACGACACCACTATATCCCCACAAGAGCAGCTTGGTGACGTAAAGCGACACATATATCGGCCGAGTAGCATAAGCAATCTGGTCTATGCTGAGTTAATAATCGAAAACAAGCTCTAACGCCCAGACCGCGACTGCGCACAGTCATTGCGAAAGCGAGACTCCAACACCGCCACAGAAACTAACACATGCGACTGGGGGATATTGCCCGAAGGAGGCTTCGACGAGTGGCTTTGATACGCGAGTGAACAGTTTAGAGCGAAGTGGCGTAAGCTTAAGGTCACGGCCAAGACACACGGCTTGCTTACAGTGATTTTCGGCTTCGTGGAGACGAACTTGATCACGAGTACAGTACCCATCTCAATTTCGGACAGACTCATACGCACGAGAAGAGGTGGGGTATTGCTGCTCGAGCGGAAGGTGCCGACGACAGTGTTGGCATCTGCTCACTCAACAACACCCTTTCGTATCGGAGGTCACGTGCAACACGTCTATTGGTGTGTAACTTGAGCTTGGTCACTCATCAACTTCAATGTGGGTTGCGTGTTCTGGAGAGTTATCTCATCGCATTGGGCACTGACGAAGATGGCAGTCAAGAGCAGAATCTTCACCGAGAAACCGTCATGATAACGCCATCTCTCGTCCCTAAGCGCGTGTGCGCTCGGACAGTGCGCACAAGAAGAGTCATGTTTACGGGTTCTGGTAATGGACATTCCATCGCAAACACCACCGTCATTTGGGGTGACAAAAGTCAAGGGCGTTACACCAGCTGCGTAGCCCTAGGAGTATTCCATCAGTGTGCTCGAAATTGATGTGTGAACTACCCAATCTTCGTCCCGGACAATCAAGATCAAAGTTCTGAAAGTCATTTAGCGATCACAACCACCCGCAGTAGCCTTGAGCTTAAGCTCACCAAAGCACCCAATGCTTATTGATTCTCACAGTCATTTAGGCGTCCGTCCACGTACCATCACCACCACCACCACCACCACCACCTACATCATGTCTCGTCTATTTTGCACATAACCAGGCATTCATAGTCAATCTGCTGATGTGAAGGTCATAGCCATGAGAACAAGCACGTCCAATAAGTGTTGATGATCGCTGTATTCGGTATCATATCTTGTCACACGGATAGAGGTTGTTGGTTTTGACGGGTGTGTGATCAGACGTGGCTGAACTTAGACAGTGCGTACACAACGCCTTGACGACAGGATCAAGTGAGGACGAGAAGGAAAATTGCCGGTCAAGAAGGGTCTATAGAGGCATATAAGGAAGGCCAACATCCTGCCATTAGCACCTCAACACACTCTCATCTTCTCAAACAACCTCATTCATAACAATACAACCAGCAACATGCACTCCATCCTCATCACCACCCTCCTGGCTACCCTCGCAGTAGCCAACCCAATCGCCCCCGGCCCACCCTACCACTCCAAACGAACCATAAACCCCAACACCGTCAACGCCCTCACCGCCGCCGAACTAACAACCCAACGCAACGCCCTCCTCCTCGCCCAATCCGAAACCGCCCGCGAAGCCATCCTCTTCCCCAACCCCCCCAACGCCGCAAACGACACCTTCCAATTCATCAACAACACCGTAACGCCGCCCACCGCAGGTTCCATCTTCCTGTCCACCATCAACAACTTCCCCGCGCTTGGCTCCACCGGCCTCGCAGCAGCCGTGGGTTTCGTCAACCCATGTGGCCTCAACACGCCGCACTGGCACCCCCGCTCCAATGAGTTCCTCACCGTAACCCAAGGAACACTAATCGGCGCCCTCCTCCTCGAAAACGACAGCGGGTTTGGAAATGTAGTAGGCGGTGCACCGCCCGTTCGCGGTCCTTACAAACAGATCGAAACCACGCTGTCCAACTACACGGGCATGCTCTTCCCCAGGGGCCTCATCCACTGGCAATTCAACCCCGAATGCGAGCCCGCTGTCTTCGTCGCGGGCTTCGATGTCAACGACCCTGGGCGTGTTGAGGCTGCGAGGGGTTTCTTCTCTGGTACCCCGGATGAGGTGCTTGAGGCTAGTGCGGGTTACAGTGAGTTTTTGACGCCGGAACAGATTGCGGGGTTGAGGCCGCAGTTGACGAGCGATTTTACGGCTATTGTCGAGAGTTGCGCGAAGAAGTGTGGGATTCCTTACAAGCCGGCTGGAGGTGATGGGTCTTCGTCGATGGCGAGTGGTTATCCTACTGCCACGAGCGGGTATCCGATGTCTACAGGTGGGTACTAGGGGTGGATGACTTGTGGAGGTTGGGTGTATTACAAGTTTGGCTGTTTGGTGTGAAGTGAGATCGGAGGTAGTATCTCACAAGGAGTAGGTGAAGGTAATCGTTCGTTCGTGAGTAGATGATGGCGTTTGGGATTAGATCGCGCTTTCTTTTGTATATAGACGCTCGCTAGATTATTTGTGTTATAGAATATAGACTGAACTTCCCGTGCTAGCTGGCCAAACTGATCTCGCAGTACTGTGATAATGTAGGATCTCTGCTCACTACAAAATATTGCGAGTACCTTCTGGCTTCATGATGAGCTATCAACTTTACTATGTCCTTATCTACAACTTCGCGTCACTAAACGGAACATACTTCTCTCCACTGGCCTCCTCCACCCTCTTCGCAGCACTCACATACCCATCCCTCTTCTGCAGTCTCCTCATGTACTCATACAACTTAGGGTAGCTCGTCTCGCTCAACGGCAGCCTCTGCGTTGCACCCTCAAGTCCGAAGTGAATCATGATATCCGCAGCGGTGAGCTTGTCGCTGCAGAAGAACTCGCCCTTGCTGGGAGAGTTGACGAGGTAGTCTTCGAGGAAGTCGAAGTGCGTCTTCAGCTCTGGGTCGACGAAGCCGGAGTCGATCTTACCGGCGACGCCGTTGGTAATAGGCTTGAGGAAGAAGGGGACGGGTGCGTTCTTAATGTCTAGGTGGTGATTTGATCAGTGAACTGGAGGGTGGGAAGTGGCAGGGGTGTACTTACTTCCGGTGACTAGCGCCAGGATCAGAATGGTGAAGAGACTACCCTCTGTGTAGTCCATCAGGAACTGGTTCAGAGTCAGCGATTTGGCCTGTTCACAGTCAATAGATGAATCTATCTCACCTTGTACCTCATCCACTCCTCAGTCTCAGCGCCGAGCACGCCCTCCTGTCCCTCAGGGTACCGCTTAGGAACCAAGTCCTTGCCAAAGTGGTCGCAAATGTACTCCATAATCGTCTCACTCTCGGCGATGACAATATCCTTCTCAGAGTTCGCAGGCCTGATGGTAACGCATGGTGACTTTCCCAATGGGTGGATGGCCTTTAGCTCGGGACCCGCGCGCTTGTTCTCATCGCGCTTGTGCACCGCGATGTCGTACTCAAGGCCAAGCTCTTCGAGCAGCCAGACCACGCGCTGGCCACGGGATTTGTTCAACCTATTTGGCTGATTAGTCGTGGTTGCTGATGGCGATGGCGCAATGCGGTGGGTGGGACCGCACGGGGATGACAGGCATGTGACAGACTTGGTAACTTACCAATGAACGGTGATCTTTGCTCCCTGCTGGTTCGACATGTTTGCGACGGTCCTTGGTAGTTTGGATGTTGGAATCTGTGGTTACAGCAGATTCTGGACAGTAATTGCAGTGATGAAAGTAAGTTTTCAATACCACCGAGGTTCTTGGACGGATTTATCTGATGCCGTCACAAGCTTCGGCGTTCAGCGCCCATCGGTGGTTGGCTGCCCGCTCGGGCACTCGGTCATCCATGTATCTAGTGTCGGTTTCGCCGACTCTCCGCAATATCGATGAGAAGCAGGAACGAGGCATCGACAATTACTATATGTAGTAGTTTTGTAGACACTGAGGGTGTGTAAGACGGGGCAATCCGGTTGTGATGTCGTCAAGGTTGCCGTGTGATCTCATGATCGCAGCTGTAGCGACTTGAGCACGAAGTAAGGCGCCCTTGAAGAATCTGTGGCTAAACAGGTAAAACAGAGAGCATGATGAATGTCTCCTCAAGGCATACTCATAAAGCATGTGGCTGTTCATGGTGACTATACGCGATGATATCCTGGAGCGCCAAGACCAGGCGGCACTTGCCGCACCTCCGCCGACCTCATCGCGCGCACCTCGTCAACCACAAGCTCACCAACTGCGCAACACATCCACACGCGCAAGAGTCCGCAAACATGCAGCCAACTTTCCGCCGCATGGCGGGCCACAACCACGGCAGTGCGTATCATCGCGGAGAGGACTATTGGGGGCGCAATTGCTAACAGTACGCAGTGATCCACGCGGATCCCGCCATTATCAAATGGGCCAGTACGTTCACCACCGACCCCGCATGCTTAAGACCACCATGATACCCCGACAACCGGCGCGTTGAAAAGGAAGAATGGCCTCAGAGGCGCAAGAGTCGTGACACGGGCGATGGAGGAGGGGGATACGCGATACGCGGTACTGACGAGGAACAGATATGACTGTCAACCGCCACAAGTACTTC